CGCACCATACTGATCCATAACGCAAAACCTCACCTCACCCCCCCCCCCACCTCACCCACCAAAAAAACACATTTTCGAAGCCAACAATGGCAATAATTGTTAGATGAAAATGTTAATACTGAAAAATCTGAGATGCACTGGGATTCCTTTTTCAGCAGCATGTATATCTCTGCCAAGGCCGTCCATGCGAGGCTACAGTCTGATCTGTACTATGGAGTGTGATGTGATTTGTGKCATGTGCACGTGTGATGGAGCGTACAAACCAGCAGGGTTTCAGAATGGTTTATGTTTATACTTTTCATCCAACCACATATTCACTCTGTCCGAGAGGCACCGAACCCTGAATTTTTGTTCACACCAAAAGTGTTTTGAGTGTCATCTGGTTTACATGCAATGTCTATGGTGGGTGTGCGTCAGGAAGTGCTGCGGTGCGTTTTCAGCATTTTGAGTGTGTCAAACGTTGGAAAATCTGAACTTTTGCAGCTCAAAGCAGTGCGTAAACCAATCAGAGAAACTCCGATGTGCGACATAGTGACACATTCTCCGACGGAACAGTTTCCTGAATGATGTCCACTAACCTGAAACAGATGGACAGGAGCTCTGTAGCTGAAATCAAGTGCCTGTAGTTCGTGTGCTGGCAGGATATATCAGCACTGATGCGGGTCAGCAGCTCACCAAACCCGCACCAAACTCAGAGCGTCTCTGAATTTTCTTGTGAATTAATTGCAAATTAACTATCTCATGAGCATGACATGCTCTTGCGCTCAGTACATAAAGCAAAACCACTTTTTTTTTAATTTCATCCGCCATTGTACAGAGGTTGGCAGAGTTGGAGAGACCAGCAGAGGAGGAGGAAAAAAGGCTCTCGATGTGCGTGTCAAGACCTCTAAATAAGCGTCGTGCGCGTCCAATGCTTCAAGTTGGACGCGATTTTGACATTCAAAACGCGTTTGATGTGAACACACCATTAGTTACACTTTAAGRCGCGCTGAAGAGCAGAGAAACAACKAAAACATGTGGGATAGTGGTCCKCCAGGACCRGGWTTTTGGCAATACTGAAGTATGATGTTTGACTGTCTAATGATGAAGTATAAATCATGCTAAATGATGAAGTTGCTGATAAAGTAATGAATGTTTACTAAGAAACTTCTGCAAAGCAGCCTTTAGAATTTTCATGTTTATCCCAGCTTCTTTGCTCACAACCATCCTTTCACCACACAGCCACCGAGGCTCTGAACACCTGCTACATCACCAGCACATACGCCACCTGCTCAGTTGAGGAGATTGTTGCAGCAGCACCAAACGGTTACCGCTGGTTCCAGCTGTACGTATACCGGGACAGGAAACTGTCGGAGCAGCTGGTGCACCGGGTGGAGGCGCTCGGCTACAAGGCCCTGGTCCTCACTGTCGATGTCCCCTACACTGGCAAGCGCCGTGATGACATACGCAACCAGTTCAAGCTGCCGCCGCACCTCAAGGTCAAAAACTTTGAAGGAATATTTGAGGTAACTGAAGCTGTTGTAAGCAAATCTCAAAGTACCGATTGTAACAGCAGAGTATTGTTAATATTAAAGTATTTTTATGCATAACAAACACAAGCATTTATTGAAGGAATGCAAATTGCCCTCCACATTGCATGCCAAAGTTTTAGACTAAACTTCATGCTATCACAGGGGTCTGCAATCTGCGGTTCTGGGGCCACATGTGGCTCATTGGTCCCTCTGCAGTGGCTCCTTCAAAATGTGACCAAACATAACAGAATAATTTTTTTGTTTGTTTTTTATACCCACAACAGAAATCAAGTTGTATGCAAATATGTGATCAATACTACTAATACAAAAAGTAAAACATGCTAGCTAATGCTAGCCTGTTGTTTACATAAATAATCCAACGTATTTCTATGATCTTTCTTTCAAATCCATCAGAATTAA